GCTGCATGATGCGACTCTAATTATGATTTGAAAAAAGTTGCATGAAAGGCATGAGCTCTGCTTTGTTTCTTGCACAGGCTGCACACACTTCATCAGTCTCTCATTCACAATTTGACAAGCACTTGATAATGCCTCGAATTTCCCGGCGGCATCCCCCTAGTGTAGCCGTAATGCTCCCTAAAAAAATCCATGCCTTTTGCGGCCAGTGGCCATTGTGCCCTTGGGCTGAATATAATAATTATAATTCCCTTCTCCTGGCTGCATGTTCCGAAGCACCTCTCACTCAAATCAATTCAAAACCAATTTGATTTGCCACATGTGCCGAATACAACAGGTGTAGACATTACAGTGAAATGCTTACTTACAAGCCCTTAAACAACAATGCAGTTTAAGAAAAAAATTAAAATAGCAAATAATTAAAGAGCAGCAGTAAAATAAACTAACAGTAGGGAGGTTATATACAGGGGGTACCGGTACAGAGTCAATGTGCGGGGGCACCGGTTAGTCGAGGTAATTGCGGTACTATGTACATGTGGGTAGAGTTAAAGTGACTATGCATAAATAATAAACAGAGTAGCAGCAGCGTAAAAGGGGGGGGGGGGCAATGCAAATTGTCCGGGTAGCCATGATTAGCTGTTCAGGAGTCTTATGGCTTGGGGGTAGAAGCTGTTAAGAAGCCTTTTGGACCTAGACTTGGCGCTCTGGTACCGCTTGCCGTGCAGTAGCAGAGAGAACAGTCTATGACTAGGGTGGCTGGAGTTTTTGATAATTTCTATGGCCTTCCTCTGACACCACCTGATATAGAGGTCCTGGATGGCAGGAAGCTTGGCCCCAGTGATGTACTGGGCCGTACGCACTACCCTCTGTAGTGCCTTGCGGTCGGAGGCCGAGCAGTTGCCATACCACGCGGTGATGTAACCAGTCTGGATACTCTCGATGGTGCAGCTGTATAACTTTTTGAGGATCTGAGGACCCATGCCAAATCTTTTCAGTCTCCTGAGGGGGAATAGGCTTTGTCGTGCCCTCTTCACGACTGTCTTGGTGTGTTTGGACCATGATAGTTTGTTGGTGATGTGGACACCAAGGAACTTGAAGCTCTCAACCTGTTCCACTACAGCTCCGTCGATGAGAATGGGGGCATGCTCAGTCATCTTTTTTTCCCTGTAGTCCACAATCATCTCCTTTGTCTTGATGACGTTGCGGGAGAGGTTGTTATCCTGACACCACACGGCCAGGTCTCTGACCTCCTCCCTATAGGCTGTCTCATCATTGTCGGTGATCAGGCCTACCACTGTTGTGTCGTCGGCAAACTTAATGATGGTGTTGGAGTCGTGCCTGGCCATGCAGTCATGGGTGAACAGGGAGTACAGGAGGGGACTGAGCATGCACCCCTGAGGGGCCCCCGTGTTGAGGATCAGCGTGGCAGATGTGTTGTTACCTACCCTTACCACCTGGGGGCGGCCCGTCAGGAAGTCCAGGATCCAGTTGCAGAGGGAGGTGTTAAGTGCCAGGGTCCTTAGCTTAGTGATGAGCTTTGAGGGCACTATGGTGTTGAACGCTGAGCTGTAGTCAATGAATAGCATTCTTGCGTAGGTGTTCCTCTTGACCAGGTGGTAAAGGACAATGTGGAGTGCAATAGAGATTGCATCATCTGTGGATCTGTTGGGGCGGTATGCAAATTGAAGTGGGTCTAGGGTTTCTGGGATAATGGTGTTGATGTGAGCCATGACCAGCCTTTCAAAGCACTTCATGGCTACAGACGTGAGTGCTACGGGTCGGTAGTCATTTAGGCAGGTTATCTTAGTGTTCTTGGGCACAGGGACTATGGTCGTCTGCTTGAAACATGTTGAAGACACTTGCCAGTTGGTCAGCGCATGCTCGGAGTACACGTCCTGATAATACGTCTGGCCCTGCGGCCTTGTGAATGTTGACCTACATAAAAGTCTTACTCACATTGGCTACAGAGAGCTTGATCACATAGTCATCCGGAACAGCTGATGCTCTCATGCATGCTTCAATGTTGCTTGCCTCGAAGTGAGCATAGAAGTGATTTAGCTCGTCTGGTAGGCTTGTGTCACTTGGTAGCTCGCGGCTGTGCTACTCTTTGTAGTCTGTAATAGTTTTCAAGCCCTGCCACATCCGACGAGCATCAGAGCCGGTGTAGTACGATTCAATCTTAGTCCTGTATTGACTTTTTGCCTGTTTGAAGGTTCGTCGGAGGGCATAGCAGGATTTCTTATAAGCATCCGGGTTAGAGTCCCGCTCCTTGAAAGCGGCAGCTCTACCCTTTAGTTCAGTGCGGATGTTGCCTGTAATCCATAGCTTCTGGTTGGGGTATGTTCGTATGGTCACTGTGGGGACGAAGTCATCAATGTACTTATTGATGAAGCCAGTGACTGATGTGGTGTACTCCTCAATGCTATCGGAAGAATCCCGGAACATATTCCAGTCTGTGCTAGCAAAACAGTCCTGTAGCTTAGCATCTGCGTCATCTGACCACTTCCTTATTTACAGAGTCACTGGTGCTTCCTGCTTTAGTTTTTGCTTATAAGCAGGAATCAGGAGGATAGAGTTATGGTCAGATTTGCCAAATGGAGGGCGAGGGAGAGCTTTTTACGCGTCTCTGTGTGGAGTAAAAGTGGTCTAGAGTTTTTTTCCCTCTGGTTGCACATTTAACATGCTGGTAGAAATGAGGTAGAACGGATTTACGTTTCCCTGCATTAAAGTCCCCAGCCACTAGGATCGCTGCCTCTGGATGAGCGTTTTCCTGTTTACTTATGGCCTTATACAGCTCATTGAGTGCAATCTTAGTGCCTGCATCGGTTTGTGGTGGTAAATAGACAGCTACAAAAAATATTGGTAAATAATGTGGTCTACAGCTTATCATGACATTTTACATTTTTACATTTTAGTCATTTAGCAGACGCTCTTAACCAGAGCGACTTACAGGAGCAATTAGGGTTAAGTGCCTTGCTCAAGGGCACATTAAACCTGGAGCTCCTAGTATTAGATTTTAAGCACCAGCTGGTTGTTTAACAATATACCGGCGCAGACCGCCACCCCTTGTCTTACCAGAGGAGGGGGCAGAGCCGAGTATCAGATACTCTACCTAGGCCGAGCAAAACCTGGAGACTTCCTTAGTATTAGATTTATGCACCACTGTTGTTTACAAATATACACAGACCGCCACCCCTGTCTACGGTATCAGCCGTTCTATCCAGATGTAGATATATCCGCAGCTGTATGTTACCAGTCATTGTTCAGCCATGACTCGGTGAAACATAAGATATTACAGTTTTTAATGTCCCGTTGGTATGATAACGGTATCTTTAGGTTCGTCTAATTTATTTTCAAATGATAATTAACATTGCTAATAGGATTGATGAAGAGGCAGTTTACTCGCTCGCCGTCTGAGCTGACAAGGCACCCGACCTACGCTCCACGATATTCCATCTCTTTCTCATGCAAATGACGGGGATTTGGGCCTTGTCGGGTGTCTGTAGGATATCCTTTGCGTCCGACTCGTTGAAGAAAAAATCTTTGTCCAATACGAAGTGAGTAATCGCTGTCCTGATATCCAGAAGCTCTTTTTGGTCATAAGAGACGGTGGCAGAAACATTATGTACAGAATAAATTACAAATAACTTGAAAAAGCACACATAATAATACAATTGGTTAGAGGGCTGTAAAACGGCTGCCATCTTCTTTGGTGCCATCTTCAGATCACATGGCTCTCTCAGATATCGCAATTCTTATTAGCAAATGCCCGTGATTGGGATCTTCTCAGAGGCATCTATCTCAGTTCTGAAGTAGGCGACAAGTAAAGACAGACACATCGGGGACGCAACTGCGCGCGTCCTTCTTATCGAATTCCGAGGCATATGTTAGAAGAACTGTCCACATACACTTTTTGTCAGCCAGCAAGATGAGTAGGTCTAACGAACAGAAAAAGCACTAGCCTATGTCAATCTACTATCCCCCATAGTACAAAAGTTGACCTATTCTATTGGTCACCTTGTCCTTCTGTGCGAGAAATAAATATTTCAAACATAGTCTGGGACAGTTGTGGGATGCGATAGATCCTAAATTAATACAACCACTCGCATCAAAAAAATGTTTAAATGCAATGAGGCTGATGCAACAGATCAGAACGTTTATCTTAAAATGTTGATAAACTATTAGGCTATTTCTTCACATTATAAGCGCAGCAATGTGCACACCGCAGAAGGCTATGAGCGCGAATGTTCCAAAATGCTATCAATTAGCAGGAAAACACCATTCTCAAAAGTGACCACAAATGCAATTATGCATGTAATGCTTTATTATAAAGGTGCATTTTTATGGTGAAAATGTTCTTCCCCAAACTTCAAACTCACACGCTGCCTATGTATGCCAGTTAGGCTCTACACCGGTTGTAAAGCAAAGCAATGTGCTTAATATTAGGAAAGTTGAGAAATAAATATAGTAGGCGTAGCCTATAGAAAGCTGATGGGATCCTCCTCTTTTTAATAGAGGCCATCAAAACTCAGTTTTCTCACACAATTGCATAGCCTATAGAAATGATGCACAACATGAGCTCGTGGGCTCTCATTAAGTGTTTGATTTGATTTTCGATTACATTTGCATTGATGTCAGAGTGATTAGAGGGACAATAAAATGCTGAGTACCAGGCAGTTAGCAAGTTTGGTAGGCTACTAATGACCATCAGCAGCATCAGAGCTTGGAGAAGCCTAGTTACCATGACTAAACGGTCATGTGGAATTTGACTGTGGTCATGACTCGTGACTGCCGGTGTGGCGGTTATACGGTCACCGTAACCGCCCTAGGTGCAACTCAATATTAGGAAGGTGTCCTTAATGTTTTGTACACTCAGTGTATGTAAATGCACATACACAAACTTTTGTACATGATTATCGATCAGTGGGTGGGTGGATGGATGGCTAAGTACTTTTTATTTCTCATTGACTTAACAAATTGACATGATAGTTGTATTTACCTCCGAGGGTCATCCCAGCTTCAAAACACTTCCTCAGTCGACATGATGGGCAGTTCTTCCTTCTCAGCTTATCGATGGTGCAGTCGTTTCTGCTGGCACACAGGTATTTCTGTTTACCCTAACAAAGACAAACAGAGATAAGAATAAGAGAATACGAAATTCTTTTTTGAATGAGGAGGAAAGTTACATCATGGTTGTAACATGGTTGTAAGTTACATCATGAATGATTACAACCGGAACCAAGGGTTGGAACCGGTTCAGGGAACAGAACCAAAAAACTGAAAATAACAAAATTATTTGAAGAACAGAACCCAAACCGAAAACGAAAGTGATCTATACTGTTCCGGAACTGTTATTTTAAAAGCATGGGAACTGGTTAGTAATGTTATCGCAACAAAGCCCTCCCTCTGTCACACAGAAAGTTATTCCAGTGTCTGCCTGCCAGCTGGAAATCATTGCCAGTGAGTGTGGGTGTGCGTGTGTGTGTGTGTAGGCTACCTGCCCCTTCCCTCTGAAGTATAGGTTACTGTAGCCTACTGACAACGTTACAAGCGTAATTCCGAAAGTAGGGAGAGCTGTTTAATTAGAGAAGAATGGATTGACTTTTTCAAAGCTAGTTAATGATACTATAGTTATCACGTTTCACATTGGATTTATTAACTACATAAAGGTAAGACGTGTTTTTAATTCTAGTGCTGCCATCAAGCGCTATGATGAAACTGGCTCTCATGAGGACCGCCACAGGAAAGGAAGACCCAGAGTTACCTCTGCTGCAGAGGAAAAGTTCATTAGAGTTACCAGCCTCAGAAATTGCAGCCCAAATAAATGCTTCACAAAGTTCAAGTAACAGACACATCTCAACATCAACTGTTCAGAGGAGACTGCGGAAATCAGGCCTTCATGGTCAAATTGCTGCAAAGAAACCACTACTAAAGGACACCAATAAGAAGAAGAGACTTGCTTGGGCCATGAAACACGAGAAATGGACATTAGACCGGTGGAAATCTGTCCTTTGGTCTGATGAGTCCAAATTTGAGATTTTTGGTTCCAACCACCGTGTCTTTGTGAGACGCGGTGTGGGTGAACGGATTATCTCCGCATGTGTGGTTCCCTCCGTGAAGCCTGGAGGAGGAGGTGTGATGGTGTGGGGGTGGAATGCTGGTGACACTGTCTGTGATTTATTTAGAATTCAAAGCACACCTAACCAGCATGGCTACCACAGCATTCTGCAGCGATACGCCATCCCATCTGGTTTGCGCTTAGTGGGACTATCATTTGTTTTTCAAGAGGACAATGATCCAACACACCTCCAGGCTGTGTAAGGGCTATTTGACCAAGAAGGAGAGTGATGGAGTCCTGCATCAGATGACCTGGCCTCCACAATCATCCGACCTCAACCCAATTGAGATGGTTTGTGATGAGTTGGACTGCAGAGTGAAGGAAAAGCAGCCAAGACATGCTCAGCATATGTGTGAACTCCTTCAAGACTGTTGGAAAAGCATTCCATGTGAAGCTGGTTGAGAGAATGCCAAGAGTGTGCAAAGCTGTCACCAAGGCAAAGGGTGGCTACTTTGAATCTCAAATATAAACATTTGTTACAAAAAAATTTTGTTTACTACATGATTCCATATGTATTATTTCATAGTTTTGATGTCTTCACGATTATTCTTCAATGTAGAAAATAATAAAAATAAAGAAAAACCCTTGAATGAGTAGGTGTGTCCAAACTTTTGACTGGTACTGTACCTGCAGTCAACTGCACACTGTGGCATTGTGTTGTGTTGTGTGACAAAACTGCACATTTTAGAGTGGCCTTTTATTGTCCCCAGCACAAGGTGCCCCTGTGTAATGATCATGCTATTTAATCAGCTTCTTGATATGCCACACCTGTCAGGTGAATGGATAATTTTGGCAAAGAAGAAATGTCACCAACAGGGATGTAAACAAACATTTGAGAGAAATAAGCTTTTTGTGCGTATGGAACATTTCTGGGATCTTTTATTTCAGCTCATGAAACATGGGACCAACACTTTATATGTTGTGTTTATATTTTTGTTCAGTGTAGTTTACATGATGTCAACAATCTAAGCCAACCCCGTCTGTTTGCCCCATAGTTGTGCACGCGTCGGTTTTGTTGCTAAACCACCAACCCGTTTATGCGCCGGGAGTTTCTGGTGATTGTTTTGCATTGATCCGTGTCAGGTCCTGTGGAAACTCTGTTAGGTGTGCAACTGTAATTGCTATTTGAAGTGGGAAAAGTAGCGTACCGATGTCAGGACAGATATCCGGATATTCGATTAACCATGCCCATCCCTACTCATAATCATGAGCTTTTTCTCAGAAACAGGATTTCCTATGTCATATGACTCACAGCTTGATTCACTAGAGAAGTTCAATGTATTTCCATATGAGGATTTCCCCAGAGGGGTAGGCTAGGATGAATGTAACTTCTGGCAATTTTGTCAGAAATGTACGTAGATTGGTTTTGACATATTCAAATCAACCATGTCAATACTATGGACCTTAGGTATTTGCCTTTGAAATACATAAAGATTAAGAACTATTTTAATTATGGCATCATTATAGCTAATACGTAAATACATAATTTCCAAAAAGCATGAGAGGTGGATCTGGAATATGGATCCATTTCCACCATTGATGCTCTGCTCTCTCTTCTGTGTGGAGAGGTGCAACGGCATATTACTTTATCAAATCTTACCTTCTGCGGCTCTCTTGAAGAACACTTTGCAGCTGCCACAGGTGAGCGCTCCATAGTGGCAGCCGGATGCCTCATCTGCACAGATCAGACAAGTCCTCTGGGGCGGAAAGAAGAACTCCGTGGGGAACATGTGGTCTCTGCCGTCCTCAAACCTTTAGGAACATATTAAAGGCTTTTAGAAATATAACAAACATACACACAAACAGTACAGAATTACTCAACAGCATCATTCAATAAGCACCTGTGTTCCTATTACCTTCATCCTCTCTCTTTTGCCACTACATACACTCCCGAGTGGCGCAGCGATCTAAGGCACTACAGACCCCCTGGTTCGATTCCAGGCTGTATCACAACCGGCCGTGATTGGAAGTCGCATAGGGCGTGGCCCAGCGTCGCCGGGTTTGGCCGGTGTAGGCTGTCATTGTAAATAAGAATTTGTTCTTAACTGACTTGCCTAGTTAAATAAAGATCAAATAAATAAGCTGTTTCCTGCCATTTTAACAGAAGTGACCATAACCTAATGCTTGAGGCCTGTCATTTTTCCTTCAGGGATGAAACCATTGAGAATGGACTAATGGAATATTGAAATTCATCAAAACTACAATAGTGTAACAGCAGAGCTTCATTGTCATGATATGACAAATTGACAAGCATAAAGCTATGATCCCTTATTGATGTCACTTTCTAAATCCACTTCAATCAGTGTAGATGAAGGGGAGGAGACAGGTGAAAGAAGGATTATTGAGCCTTGAGACAATTGAGACATGGATTGTGTACGTATGTGTGCCATTCAGAGGGTGAATGGGCAAGACAAAGATTTAAGCGTCTTTGAACAGGGTATGGTAGTAGGTGCCAGGCGCACAGGTTTGAGTGTGTCAAGAACTGCAACGCTGCTGGGTTTTTCACGCTCAACAGTTTCTTGTGTGTATCAAGAATGGCCCACCACCCAAAGGACATCCAGCCAACTTGACACAACAGTGGGAAGCATTGGAGTCAACATGGGCCAGCATCCCTGTGGAACGCTTTTGACACCTTGTAAAGTCCATGCCCCGACGAATTGAAGCTGTTCTGAGGGCAAAAGGGAGGGGTGCAACTCAATATTAGGAAGGTGTTTCTAATGTTTGGTATACTCAGTGAATACACCTTTGATGTAGAAGGTGCAAAATGACACTTAACACCCCACACAGAAGCTGACACCCAATCTGGACCATGGTCCATGATCAAAATGAAACGTGATTGCCTTTGGCTGGCATTCTATATGACTCCTCACATTGAGGCCTCTTGTGCAATACTACTGCCAACAAGTGTATAACCTATTTGTGTGGTTCTTTAAAAATAAAGTTAATTTGATTCACAGATCCAGATTATTGAATCATTTTCACTTTCTCCCTCAGATTCACAGTTTCTGAGTGATATCCTCATTGGGTGAACCAGACTGGGTAAGAATGTGTCTGATTTCTAATTAGAGCTGGGCAGAGGGTGTGATGACTTGAGAGAGTGTGGGAAAGGTGTGAACAGCAGTGCCAGGACCAAGGGGGGCAAGAGGGGTGTTCTACTGTAGCTGTGAGCGCAGGAAGAGATTGGACAGTGTGTACAGACATAACTATACCTCAATGACGCATAGCGTTAGGTGTCAAGGCTCTATGTAAAAAAGACAAGGACAAAGCTTATAACCAAGCAGCAAAACAGTCCTCTCTACAGTATCAGCAGTAGGCTAAATGCCCACTGGCTCTTGGTCAGAATCTAGAGTTAGAGGCCTCCTGTAAGGGAATAAGCACAAAGCTCAGTTTTGTCATAGTTATCTGTGAACAGTTATCAGTGGCTTAATATGATGACTATAATTCTGTTCTGATGACCTGGTCTGATGTTACTGGGAGATTTAAGTCATTCAGGGTTTCCCATATATACTTTTCGGGATGGAAAAACACTTTCAGTGTAAACTTAAATGACTAAAGAAAGCCAGACAGGAAGTATGTAGAAAATATTATTAAACTATATATTTTAAAATAATATAATCTTTGAGAACTAGAAATCACCCAAATAAAAGTTAGACAGTAAGGGAAAATTCTAAAAACAATCCATTTAGGAGTATTTTTGTCATGGTGTCACGTTGTCTAATGATTAGAAGACAGGCGCAGGAATACATATTAGGGGTTTTATTTACTCCACCCAACACAAGATACGTCATGAAAAACATCGGGGACGAAGCCCAAACCAAACACGTAATATATATATCAAAGGGATTTAACCCAAACAAAGAGTGAGGTGTAACCTCTACACAATACACGGGAGGAGACCCGTAATAACAAGAGCACAATACACAGTACTCATGAGACCAACGGACATGGGACAATAATCGACAAGGACAATGGGGAACAAGAGGGCACATATATACACATACTAATCAGGGGGAATGGGAACCAGGTGTGCGTAATGAGACAAGACAGTCCGGGGTTGGTGGTAATGAACCAGGTCAGTGACGCCTAGAAGGCCGGTGACGTAGACCTCCGGAGCTGGTGAACAGAATGAGCAGCAGTACCGGGGGATCCGTGACACATGGCTGGTTTACTGACAGGGCACACAGGGCACATGCCCAGGGGCCCTGATTGGGGTCCCGATTGGTTTTGTTTTACTATTTGAGCATAAGAACACAGAATTAGCCATGGACAAATGTGCAGGATTGCAGGAAATAGCTCTCCTGGAAATTAGCCACACACACCCCTCCGCGATCGTTGACAAAACTAGGGGAAACACTGGTTAATTAATCCATAGACATTGACAGAGACTGATCTGGTTAATCATAAATCAGTAATAAATGTAGGTACTTCAAATGTGTGATGAAATTATTGATGTAATCAATGCAAGGATATACATGTTACTCTATGCTGCTCTTATCCACTTTAGCTTTAAACCTTTAGGGAAATAATTGGAATAGTTGGAATTCCAAAATGAGATAACCTCATTTAGGATATGTTATGATGATAATACTTCTGGACATTAATACGTGGATGGCATATCCTGTGGATGTCAACATGGTGTATGAATATGAATGTAAACTGGGGCATGGCATGGCAAGGCAGGGGGAAACGGAAAAGGTCCGAAAAGCAGAATTCCTTTCACCCAGACTGGTTCTGACAATTTTGGCTATTCAGAAAACATCTCCACTTTTAAATTGTATTGTTAAAACCATTGAGGATAACAAACAAGAAACCAAACAAAAAGTCTAACTTTTATATTGGAATGGAAGGAATTCCTTCAGAAATTACCGTTCAGACTCTCTGTCACAGACCTACCCACAGAATTCCACTGAATCAAAGCAGTACATTCTTGCAGATGTTCTTTGTACCCACCCCATCTAACCCAGTTTGAAATTAAATTCACATCTAACATTTCCCCCGATGAAATGTAGCCTAGGTGAATGACTACTCAACATGAGCAAAATAAGCTATTCTGTATTTTATGTAAGCTTATTGGCTGGAGTAGAGAAGGGCTGATATGAAGAATGTAGCCCATAAGACAATTGGAGGTACTGTAATAGCCATATGGTTTGTAAGTTCCAGATCTGATATAAATCTTGCATCATAACACTAAGACATTTCAGACCTTGGAATCCAGATAATATTTTTACACTGTGAGTGGTGTGTGACTTTGACATGTGAATTGTCATTAGCACAGCACTTGCATGCTTAAGGTGCTATTTGGAGAGTAATTTAGAATCTCAGGTAAATTTACCGTCTCACTTAGTGAGTGGATCGAATGGTTAGGTCATCAAAATCAGCAGTGGCCTACTGACATTAGTGCATCCTGCCCTTTGTCCTCAAAAAGAGCACACGTGTGCACACACAAAGACAGAGGTATGTAAACAGACACCCACCTCAAATTACTAAACAAATTCAAAACAACCTTTCAGACAAAAAGCCCAGTGCATTACAGGCCGCCAGTTGTTTGTGTTGGAGTATATAAAAACAATGCCATAATTATTTTGAATAGTTTGTTCTTAGTTTTGAATAGTGTACAAAAATATAAGAACACCTTCCTAATGTTGAGTTGTGTTAAGTCTCATTTTGCCCCTTCTAAGTCAGTGGCATATACACTGAGTATACCAAACATTAGGAACACCTTCCTAATATTGAGTTGCACCCCACTTTTTGCCCTCAGAACAGCCTCAATTCGTCAGGGCATGGACTCTACAAGGTGTCGAAAGCGATCCACAGGGATGCTGGCACATGTTGACTCCAATGCTTCCCACAGTTTTGTCAAGTTGGCTGGATGTCCTTTGGGTGGTGGACCATTCTTGATACACACAAGAAACTGTTGAGCGTGAAAAGCCCAGCAGCGTTGCAGTTCTTGACACACTCAAACCTGCGCGCCTGGCAACTATTACCATACCCTGTTCAAAGACGCTTAAATCTTTGTCTTGAATGGCACAATTACTCAATCCATGTCTCAATGGTCTCAAGGCTTAAAAATCCTTCATTAACCTGTCTCCTCACCTTCATCTATATTGATTGAAGTTGATTTAACAAGTGACATCAATAAGGATCATAGCTTTCACCTGGATTCACCTGGTCAGTCAATGTCATGGAAAGAACAGGTGTTCATAAGGATTTGTACACTCAGTGTACATTTAAATGTTGTAGTTTTTTTTCAATGTAACTACAAACTCAAACCATCACCCTGAAATGTTAAGTACATTTGGTTAATGTAATGTGGTGGTAACCATTTGTATTATTATTTTAAACCTGAAACTTACAGTGTAAAGAACTATACTGCCTGTGTGATACAGTGCCTTGCAAAAGTATTCATCCCCCTTGGCGTTTTTCCTATTTTGTTGCATTACAACCTGTAATTTAAATGGATTTTTATTTGGATTTCATGTAATGGACATACACAAAATAGTCCAAATTGGTGAAGCGAAATGAAAAAAATAACTTGTTTCAAAAAATTCAAAAACAAAAATGACGGAAAAGTGGTGCGTGCATATGTATTCACCCCCTTTGCTATGAAACCCCTAAATAAGATCTGGTGTACCAATTATCTTCAGAAGTCACATCATTAGTTAAATAAAGTCCACCTGTGTGCAATCTAAGTGTCACATGATCTGTCACATGATCTCAGTATATATACACCTGTTCTGAAAGGCCCCAGAGTC